TTCCTTCCTTCCTTCCTTCCTTCCTTCCTTCCACGAAAATCCCAAGATCGAAGAACATAGCTTAATACTTATAACTAGAGATGGTATATTCATATCTGTTAATGAATATGAATATCCCTGGCCCAGGTGTCCTGGGTCCTCAGGTCTGCCTCCCAGAACAGACCCATCCTACTCAGCGTGCCAATCTGCAATGAAGCCCAGCTGCCACTGCTCCACCTTACTGCCCTTCTGGCCACTCCAGCCAGGGGAGGGAGCCGCGACCCATAAGTGGACGGCTGTGTTCTAGGAGGTGGGCCTGGGGACCCAGGACACCTGGGTCAGGGATATTCGTTAACCAGTGTGAATATCCCATCTCTACTCAAAACAATTTATTCCACCTCCTCAGCGCTTTCTTCTGTGTTGAGGATCCAGCTAGACACTAGGGGCCAAACTAGATATGATGTTTATCCTCTGCCTGCTGTTCACCATTAAAATCAGCAGCAGAGTGCACAATAAACATTAGAATCCTACTGAATCCTGCTCAAATCAAACTGGCACTAGAGGGGCCAGCCATACTTACCTTTGGGGATGGTTTCAAATCCTGGAAGCTACAGTGAACACCCAGAAATGTACAAGGGAAGTCTGCATTCTGGACCGGACCAAATATTGCTGTTATGATCTTGTCATGGTTGTTTTATTGCTCAGTAGTTGCTAAGGTGTTGATTATTAAGGTTTTAAAAAAAAATCTGTGGTTAGAATAACTAGCTGTTGTGCTCCATGCCACATTCCTACAGTAATGAGACTCAGCATTTTATCAAGCCTCTGGAGTTTCAAATGGCAACGTTGCTCTGTGAGTCAGCCCACTTGTCAAAGGGTGGGAAACCTGTATGCAAAAAAAAAAGAAAAGAAAAGAAAGAAAAGAAAAACAAACAAACAAAAAACCTGCTTCTGTTTAGTTTTCTGCCGTAAAGCAGCTTCTAGATGACGTCATTGGACCCAATCTTGTTTCGTGTTTCCCCAAGCTGAGCTGCTCTAGGAAGATGTGACATCAAATCTCAGGTTGCCAGAAATAACAAACCACTTTTTTAAGTGTCAGGTTGAAAATCTGCCAGAATCATGCTCATCTGTAGTTCAGTGGCATATTCTTTTTAGATCATTTGATAAATTAACCTGCTTTTTATTTGATAGCAGTTCTTGGTGGTTATATGGTTAGACTGTATTGCCTTTTCACTCTACCCTTTTAAATGCACATTTTACATTTTTGTCCCTCTGTCTGGCTTTGGATAGTCATGGTATCGTCACATCCAGATTAGGTTACATTAGTCACCCTTGAAGACAGTCAGGAGACTGCAAGTGGTCCAGAATGTGGCTGCAGGGGATCTGAAAAAAAAAGTTGTGCATTCAAATCATATAAATTCTGTATCAACTTCGTCAGTTACCAGATTGTTTTCAGGTATGATTCAAGATCTTGGTGCTGATCTTCTATGTGGTGGTTTTGGACTTAAGAAAGTTTCCTAGTGCTGCTGGAGAATAGGCACACCAGGTGCTGAGAGAGGATGCTTTCACTGTGGCTTCCAGAATTTGAAACCAAACCAGATAAGTATGGCTGGCCCCTCTAGTGCCAGTTTGATTTGAGCAGGATTCAGTAGGATTCTAATATTTATTGTCCACTCTCCTGCTGGTTTTAATGGTGAATAGCAGGCACAGGGTAAACATCACATGTAGTTTGGCCTCTTGTGTCTAGTATTAATGTTACATGTTATGATAGAAGTTATCAAACAAAACACAATGCTGCAGGATTTTCTTCTTGCACTCTAGGAAACGTAGGCCGGTCTGCTTCATGCCTGTGTGTGGCAAAACCCTAGTGTTGTGCCAGTTCCAGACCTTGACTTCAGGAATTTTTTTGTTGGGCCAGAATGATCCTGTCTGTCAAGGGAGGAGTGAATGAAGAAGAAAGACTGGATGTAGCTTAGGGGAAAACCAAAATGTGTTGTATGATAAAATATAATTGATGGTTCAAGTTGGTTGGTTTACAACATAACTCTGAACTTGTCACAACACAAGGGGGAAAGGGTGCAACAATAAGTCGAAAGATGATAACTTTGTGCTTTCTTTTCTTGCAGATTTGCGTGTATTTCCAGAGCGCTTTGTGATTTGTGTCACAAAACTTGAATCCAGTCCACCTCCTTGGGTCAGTGAAAGTGTGGCACCAGTATGTATGAAAGACTATTAACAACTGTCATATTTTTCTGTGCAGTGGTTAAAAACGTGGGTGGCTTTATCGAGGCATTTGCCATTCATAGATTCTTGGCATGTGCTCTGGGTGGAAAATGTTACATAAATACTTGGACCAAAATGTTTAAAACTTGGAGTTAAAAATTCTTTTCTTGAGTTCACAAGCTCCACACCCGGGCAGGGAAGATTATGAGACCCTTCAGAAAGCTGGCCATTTCTGAAAATCAGATTGTTCCTGAAGATGCACAACAAGACAATTTTGTCCTTTTATTCTTGAATTTCAGTTATGCAAACCTACTTTAGGTAGAGTTACCAACTATATTTTGACTAAATTAAATATTGGTCAGTTGTTCAAAATTCAGAAAAATAAGCAAGCATTGATTCAGAATGTCTACTTTTTCCTGTAGTGTTTAACCTTTTAATGCAATTCTTCATAGATTTGTTAGGAGTGAGCATATTACAGGTGATGCTTAATAGGGTTTACTAGCCTATCTCATGACCATAAACTCTTTTAATGGGCCAAGCAGTTTACATTATAACGTGGGTTGTCCCTTGTGCTGCTGTTTGTGCTCCTCGCAGTGCAGTCAGACACAGATCTTGAAAACATTTTGGGTTGGGTTTTTAAAAACAATCCTGGCCATGCTATCTTGAGGATTCTGGAAGCTATAGTTTAGGAAAGGCACTTCTCAGATCTGGTCAGGTGCCAGAGAAAATATATATGCAAATAAACATGTTTTGTCTAACGATGTTCATTGGAATCCATTAAAATCTGGTTTAGAACCATGGAAGGAGAATATCCCCCCCCCGTCCCCATCCCCATCCAGAGGAGTTCTTAAAAAAACTCAAGTGGTGACCCACTTCCAAATCAAACCAAAGTGACTTCAGTAATCACTACTTTTATTAAATGAATTGTTTAAAGTGAGAGTATGTAGGTTCTGTCACTTTTTCCCACTGGAGAAGATGTTGCCTTCAGAGAGCACAAATACGTTCCCAGCATTCCTACCCGCTTCTTTTAAATGGGAGCAGTAGAGTATCCTCTGCACCCCTGTCAGCCTAGTTACAGGAAGGGTAACTAACGGGAACCAAGCAACGTGCAAAGTTTGGCACTGCAGATTGTAACTGCTGGAAGAAGAGCTGCAAGTTCCATGTGGCTGCAGTGTCTGGCTTCGTATTGAACAAGCCAACATCAGATCAAGTAAAAGTCTCCCACCTACTAGTATTTTCTAAGCACATTTCTGAATACTGCTTAGGCCAAGTGATTATTTTCATTCATCAATAAAACAAATGGAAATCAAAGCCCCGGATTGTAGGGGAGCATAAAGATGTTCTCTTATGTTCAGCTGGAAAGCCTCAGGAGGCTGTGGCTGAGGAAAGGGCACGCAACATGTTCCCACTTTCTGTGCTTACTTAGTCAGTGTGCTGATGCTGTTCAGTATTTACATGTATGGAACACCAACGGCGGAAGCTGCCTTGACAGTATAATGAAGTGTCGGTTGTGTGCCTAGTGCATTTATTTATGAGTTTATTTCTACCCTTGCTGGAACCTCTTGGTTGTACATGAGCAGCACTTCATCAGATTCCTGCAGCAGTTTATGCAGTTTGTGCTCCAAATGTATGTAATATTGAACAGGATGCTGGCCCTTGCCTCCAGTTATCTGGGCTTCGTGAGCCCTAGAGCACGATCCCTACCCTACAATTCACTGATTGCATTTTTCTCCTCTTAATATTTTCAACGCATGCCTGGTGACCCAGTTCTTCCAATACAACAGTCTGCATTTCTTCTTTTATCCTGAAGATTTAGGAACTTGCTTTGTACAGAGCAAATCAACTTTCTTGTGTGCCCGTCCGGGAATTTAGGTACCGAAGTGTGAAGATCATTTAGCCAAATTTTTAAATACATACAGTATTTGAGCAGTTTTCCTGTAATGCTGTTAAGGGAAGGGGCCATAGCCTGTTGGCTGAGTGTATGCTCTGCGTGCACGAAGACTACCAGGCTGAATTCCTGCTGTATGTAATGAAAAAAAAAGTAATGGAAGGGCTGAAAGAGATACCAGAGAGAGGTTTTGCCAGCTAAATGCAGTATTAAACTAGATAGTCCAAAGTTCTGACTCGCTATTAGTTAGCTTCATACTTCATATACAAGATTGACTTCTGCTTTGCATGTATTGGATGCAAGCATATATATTATCTTACTAATGTTTGAGTCTAGAATAACTGCTTTCATATGCCTCATAAAAAATAGTCTTCCAACAAGGGAAAGACCCAGCATTCTGTGCCTGGGCTCTTTAACTGACACTGAAGAGGATAGATCTAGAGGGAAATTCCTTAGACCTGGGCTGAAATTTGTCTGTCTTTTCTTGTGAATTTGCAAAAGACACATCATGTGGGTTTCAAACCCTCCGCCTCCCATTTTTCTGTTGAAAGATGCACATGCGTGCTGCCAGATTGTGGAGTAACAAAATTTCCCCAAGGTATTTTCTAAGGAGGTATGTAGGTGATGTCATAATCCTGTGGTTGAGGCTTGAATCCCCTGGGTTGGTTTTTCGGATAAGGTTCTGCCAGATTTGGTGGCTGCAACAGAATGGAATTGTAAGTCCCTTATGGTTTTTAAGAGCAGCAGTATTCTCTGCTCATTGCACTGGGAGGAGGAAACTTGTATGTAGATTCTCACAAACATGCACACCCCTGGAACATCTTTTGGCATTAATTTTATCTACTCATATTTGAAATGCTGTTCTACAAACACATGTACGCATAAATACAAAACACCGATCTAGGCTTTATGGGCTGTAGAGATCTCCTGAATAATGAGATGGAAAGATAATACTAATACATCCCCTGCCACTGCTCCCACATTCCCATCACCTAGCTTTCACAGAGGTGGGAGGATACATCTCTCCCAGTATTGTTGGACTGCACCTGCTATCGGCCCAAGACAGAGTTCAAGGCTTCCAACCAACATCTGGGCACAGGGCTGTGCTTTATCCATCTACGTATGTCTGAAGTAGTCCCTCACACATTATTTAGGCCAGAAATTATATATTTGATGTATTTGAAATGATATTTAATTCTTATAGAGCTAATTCTTAAACAGCTAAGAGCCTATTTTCTGCTAATAACGCACAATTCAGCCAAAATTGGCATAACAGATTTTGGATAAATCTTCATGTCCAGTCTTTTGAAACAGACTCCTCTCTTTTTTAAATGTCCCTGATTATTTTGTTACCTTTATTTCAAAATCAAGGAAATGGAAATCAGCTTGCTCTCATGGAAAACAGGTCTTACAGTGTACAGACAGAGTATATGAGGAGATTTTTTCCCCCTAGTAGAAAACAAAATTAAACCCTAGAATTTTTGTGTAGATCTTCCCATCATTCAATCATAGTTCTGGGCCCTAGAGCCTCTTTACACCATTATTTTGTCTCTGGTTAGCAAACACCATGTAGAGGGGGAAAATGGAGTGGTCCAGTCCAATAATTATTCTTTCTCTTCTGTAAAAATAAGAATGATAGATGAGCAACAGTATCAAGATCGTTATCTGTTCACAGATAAAGTCCACATTATCTGAAGTAAACAGTATTTATTCTATTATTTTGTATATTAAGGGTGCTTACTCCCTTATGGAGCTTTTACTTTGTTCTTGTGTGCAAGGGTATTTGATTATGATGGTTGCTCTTTGTTGAACAGCAGTATATAACAATGTACTGAACCCATACCCAATTCATTATGATGGTTGCTTTTTGTTGAACAGCAGTATATAACAATGTAAAGGTAAAGGTAAAGGTTCCCCTTGACAATTTTTGTCCAGTCATGTTCGACTCTAGGGGGCAGTGCTCATCCCCGTTTCCAAGCCATAGAGCCAGCATTTTGTCCGAAGACAATCTTCCGTGGTCACATGGCCAGTGCGACTTAGACACGGAACGCTGTTACCTTCCCACCGAGGTGGTCCCTATTGATCTACTTGCATTTGCATGCTTTCGAACCGCTAGGTTGGCGGGAGCTGGGACAAGCGATGGGCACTCACTCCGTTGCGTGGATTCGATCTTATGACTGCTTGGTCTTCTGACCCTGCAGCACAGGCTTCTGCGGTTTAGCCCACAGCGCCACCATGTCCCCTATACTGTATAACAATGTACTGAACCCATACCCAATATGAGTGGGCTGGAATCCCCACTCAGCCATGGAAACTCATTGGGGAAGAGGAATTGGTAAAACCACTCCTTAAATATCTCACTTACCTCGAAAGCCCTATTAAGGTCACTATAACTCATTTCCAGCTTGATGGCACAGAAAACACACATGAAAGGGAGAGGGGTTCTAATTGGCAATTTCCTTGTATGATAGTTGTCATAGTTCAGAACATTTTATCATACATAACAAGATGGTGCTCATATTAATATATTCCTCTTATGTGGTGGTAAAATGTAGGAAGACTTTACAACTAAATGATTAAATTAACTGTTAAAATATCAGTAAATAGGTGAAATGGAAATTGAGCATGCATACAATCAATTAATATAAAATTAAGATGAGTAAAGAAAAATCACAAGTATGTAAGAATTGCACACAAAATAGAGGTCAGATGTCCTTTCCTTCTGATGTATAAAAATTACTCAATAAATGCTTTCAGTTTTTCCAAGAAGTCTCTTTCGTACACTGTTGAAATAACAGCAGTAAAGTTGACGAACAAGGAAGCTTGGATGGTTTCTGAATAAAACAATGTTATTTGTACTGAGAGGAAACATATAGATTTAGGTTAGGGCAGAACGTCTGAGAAAGTAATGATAATTTCACTATCTATAACAATGGTTGATGTTTGTCAGTACATGAGGATGGGACTGAGAGACCTCTTGAAGGCTGGGACACCAGAAAGAAAAATATTTCTTTTTGTCACATGAATTAGCGGTAGTGTACATCTCACATGAAGTGGAGTTCATTTAAATTAACCCCCCTTCTGTTTTTAATAAATGCCAAGACTGTGAGGAGTACAGAACAGTGACCCATGGAATGAGCTGGTATTGCTTATTTGTACTTCTGCTTCAGTATTAACTCCTCTTGATAGTGCGAACATTATGCTGTGATATTTCCCCTGCCTCAGTTCTTTTACTGGCCCACTTTACAGGCTCTTTCTGTAAAATTTGGTTTCTCTTACTTTTCATTAATATACATTACAGTTTTGTGAAAACACTGGTGTGTAAGTAGAATATTTAACACATTTATTCCTCCTTTCTAAACCGTAAAAATAAACTTGGTTTAAATAGTCTTATGCCAAGCACAATCTGATAAAAAGATGAAGGAAGATGAGGTCTGTTCTGTGTTAGAATCAAATCAACTTTATCAAGTTTCACTATGTGTCTGCAGTCTGCTCTTACTTTTTGGAAGTCAATAACACAATTTCTAATACACACCAGAATAAAATAGAATAGAAGAAGAGTCCTCTTGGATTAGAATGCTATCATTCTGTTTTCCTAGTGGCCAGATTGAAATCACAAGAAGACCAATGTAGATATCAAACCAATGATCTAATCAGAATGTGGAAAGGCTCTGTTCTCTACAAAAAAAACAAGACCTAGAGCAGACTGTGGTACAGACCATGAACTGCTAATGTTGAATACTTAGAATAAACCCAAAGAAGAACACTAGAACGGTCATCACGGCAAAGATAATATTCTTTATGAATTTGAAAACCATTTTCATTACTGAACTCAATTAACCATGAACCAGAAGAACTGTGAAATTAAATACAAGTTATTACCAAGGGCGAATATAAAACTATTATTCCTGTAGTCACAAGGAAAGAAAAGCATTGATGAATGAGTGAGGAAATTCTTAGTTGTTTTAATGATAAACAAGAAGCAGAAGTAAAAGATAAGAGAAATAGAGTCAGAATCCTAATTGGAGCTTTTGACTGACATGGTTGGACAAAGAGAACTGCTACAATATCATTGTAAGAGAAGAACACAATGGAACAAAACCAAGAGATGTGTTCCATGAGATACAAAAACAAAAAAACAAAAAACAAATTTAAACTAAGGTTAATAATAATAATTTTGTGCTATCTGATCAATTCAGACTTACGGCAGCCTTAGAAAACTCAGTGTTTTCTAAATAGTGAGTTCTCACAAGTGGTTTACAACTCCTTCTTCCAGGGGTATCCTGGGATGTGAGGTTGTCCAAAATTAGACAGACTATCTGTACTCCCAGGGAGCACAGTGGGTGATTGAACTATCAACCACTGGCTACTCAGCCAGATACCTAAACTCCTGAGCCATCCTGTCAGCTAAAGTAAGGGATAAAATATTGAGAAGATTAAATAAAAGCTGGAGAACTATACAGAATAGTTGCAGAATTTTTGATTCCTTCAAAAAAATTATTTATTTATTTTAAAAAAGAAGAAAGAGAAGTGAAGACGTCTCTTAAAGCGCTTGGAAAAAAATAAATCACAAGAGCAGTGGGATAATAATGGAGTTATCTCAAGGTGCAGAGACTGAATTTGTCAAACTCTGAACAAGAATTAGATCTAAAAATATGGAAAACAAAGCAATGGCCCACATGCTAATTCTAAGAGAGATGTAAAATATTGTAGTTACTGTAGGACTATGGCATTAATTTTTCATGAGAGCAAAATAAAGCTGAAGGGTTTAGAACAAAGAATTTTACCATGTGCATAACAAGAAAAGCTACTCCAGAGAGGAAGAGGAAGAAGAAAACTTCCAGGGGAACAGAATATTTTTAATTTTTTTTTAAAAAAGTGTTTCAAACAATCATTTTTCTTAGGGACAAACATATACAAATATAGTAAAACTGTAGAGCAAACATAGCACCATAAAACATAAAAATCCATAGAACCTCATGTTAGAAGGCTGTTATTAAAATAAATATAAAGGTCAGACAAGTCTTCCTTTCCTTTCCAGTTATCATGAAACATCTTTGAAACCCACTTTTTAATTATTTTTGTCAACAGAGCAGTAGAGGATATCCAAATTAGGCATCATTTTCCAATACCAATATATTTCAAGTACCAATGGGATCTTTGAATAACGTACATACTACAAATATTAAGGTCAAAAAACCCCACACCTTGGCTCAGCCAAGAAAATGGATTCTGAAACTGGGGCAAAGAACCACCCACAAGAGTGCTTAGTATTGGAACTAAAGTACAGTATATTGCTATATTCATGCACTTCTTGTAAATGGCACATCTTCAAGTATACATCAGAATGTAAAGCCTTCAGCATTTACTTAGAATTTATAGAACTATAAAGACAGAACTAACCTCATGAACAACAGTTTTCCATCAGCTGTCTACTGCAGTTGTGCTTCTGCGGTAAGCAGTAAGGATGATTGTCTGTGTCATGTCACCTGGGATAAAAATATAAAAGATGGGATTTAGCTTCAGAAATCGTTCCCTACTTTAACCTCACTGCTTATCTAAAGCTATTTGATACTATAATCTGGCACAAGCAATCTAACTATAAATGGCAAGATCAAGGAGAAGTACTATTGACCTTTGAAGTCATCAACAGTTATTGTTCATGCTACCATAATTAGATCCTCAAACGGTTCTTTTTAATGCTGTTTGAGAAGTTGGCCTTGTGAAATAATGGTGTGCATTTTCCCCCTCTTCAATACATGAAATTCTTCCCCCACCCCCAAGAGAAGATGGAAGAGAGTGGCCATTCTATTTAGCATGGAATAGTGTGTGGCCGTACAAGATGGTTTATGGTTTCCATGTAAAGCAGTACAGTGAAGCAGAGGGCATACAGAAGTCAAAGATATGAAAGACATGACTACTGTATTTTCAATGAATTTCAAGTTTTGAACCCAATATCATTTTAGCTCATGGATATTTGCTGATTAGTGGCAACATAGGAGGCATTTGCAAGGGACAGCAGGAATAAAGCCCAATGCCTTTCCCCATCAGCTCTCTAAACCACCACCCTGAAATCTAGTTTTCTTACAGTCTCTTAAGAGAAATGGGAGGGTGGATCGGAGCAGGAGGACATGCAGTACAGTGGTGCCTCGACTTAACGAACATCCTAACTTACAACCATTTCGAGTTGTGACCAAGTCCGGTCGCAAATTTTTGCTTCGACTTGCAACCGGAGCTTAGAGTTGTAACTGGAAAAAGGCAGGGGAAAAGGGCGGGGAATTCAAATTTGCTAACTGTTGGTAGGCGAAGAGGCTGCTTCTTTGTAGCTCTTTCGCCCCGATGGTTAGAGAGTGTGCGTCAGAGGAGGCTTTGGACTGCCTGGTGCTGCTTTCTGCTCCTGAATAAGTACATTTACTTTGTTTTGCAGAGTGGGTTTGGGGATGTATTCCCCCCCCCCCACCCCCCGATGTATTCCCCCCCCCCAGCCCCATCGCACATTCGGATGGGGCTGGCTGTGTGTGGGGGGGTGATAATTTTTTTGGCGGGAACAGATTAATGGGTTTCAATGCATTCCTATGGGAAATGGTGCTTCGACTTACGACCATTTTGAGTTACACCCATCTTCTGGAACGGATTATGGTCTTAAATCAAGGCACCACTGTACTGCAGGAAGTGGCAAGGAGAAGCAAAATTAAACACCCTTCTCCTGACCGCTTGTTCTCCACTGCAAATGCTTTGGTCTATTAACATGACAGAGGGCTGGGTGACCCTCTTTCTGTCTTGCGTGTAGTTCTGCAGTGGTTATGGTGTTCATATTGGCACTTTAACCAAACAGTAGGAGATGCTTTAAAAATTAATAAACCAGAAATAGCAAAATTTGATCTTCATCGCTTCCTAACCATCATCTCTCCATATCTGGTTCAATAAAACGTTTCTATTAAGGGGATATTCTGACAAATAAAAGAGCATAACAGCCCACCAGAAAGAAAGAATACACCTACCATGGCAGTGGTTTCTTCTTTTATGCAGAAAAGACTGCTGTGCTGGCTTTTTTTTTTAAAAGTCTGACCTTTGCCCTCTTTTGTATTGTTAATGAACAGTAGATCTATTATCTGGAAATATTCCCTCTGAATCCCAACCTATATTCATGTGACATCATCTTGCAATCAGAAGTAATCACAATTAACATCTTAACCTTGGAATCATAATCTAAAGTGTGTATTGCAAATGCCTCTGAGCATACACAAATGCAGCATTTGTTTACATGTAGTCATAGCTCCTTTTCTAGGGTTGCCACCAATTCCTTTTCTGTGGTGAAACTGAGGTGTATAATACGGTTTATTGGAGCATTAAAATATTTTGAAGAGGCTAGCTTTTAAGGTCTGCAGGATTCTTCATCAAGTGGCCATTGCAGAATGTGGGCAGGAGGAGATGTAAAGAACTGCTGGAATAATGTAAGTGACAGAGTGCTAGAGACACTTTGTGTAGTTATGTGCCAACAAGTCACATCTAACTTGTAACAAATCTAATAGGGCTTTCAGGTGTTTTGATCTAACTGCTGAATGCGTTTTTATATAACTTGTCTTAGTTATTGTTTTATCCCTGTTGTAAGCCGCCTAGAGTGGTCTATTGATTAGATAGGTGGGATATAAAAATAAATAAATAGATAGATAGATAGATAGATAGATAGATAGATAGATAGATAGATAGATAGATAGATAGATAGATAGATAGATAGATAGATAGATAGATAAGGTTTATGAGATATTTAAGGAGTCTCTCACAGATAGGCCCTTCTGACTTTCTATGGCTAAGTGGGGATTTCAGCCCAGTCTTCTGTGATGAGATATTTAAGGAGCCTCTCATAGATACGCCCTTCTGAGTTTCTATGGCTAAGTGGGGATTTCAGCCCAGTCTCCTGTGTCCTTGACTTATGCTCTGTCTGTTACTTACACCACATCGGGTCTCAGAGATACTTTGGATGGAATCCTGGTGGCACCACTCCCCATGTGAAAAGCTGGAGACAATATCAGCCATGGCCTTTTATTTTTAATTAAATGTTTCCCTCTCCCCCTGCCCCCCAGCCAGGGATCTGAGGCTCCCAAAAGATCCCTTTCAACCTGGGGAAGCCTTTGGGGACCTAAGGATGGGAGGGAAGACTTTAAATGTCTGAAAATTGTCAGGTCTGGAACCAACAGCAGGTGTTTTGTTTTTGTGTTTACATTAGAAGCTCCCCTACCAGCACTCTCCTCAGGATCCCAAATCCTTCTCTGGGTTGAAAGGGAATCTTAGGAAACCTTAGAATTGAGGAGTGGAGGGAATTTTTAATTAAAAACAAAAGGCCATAGCTGATGACATCAATCTTGCTGTGCCAACAGGATTCTGGCTACTGTAGTCTTTAGCAATCAAAGCAAATAAATTAATATGGAACTGTTAAAAGTAACTTATGGCTACTTTGAATTAGTAACTTTCAGAAGAACTTTTCATTAACAGCCCTGATCTGATCTTGCAAACTCAAGGCTTCTAATGAGAATTCGGGCTTGATTTGATCCAGTACGTGCTTATTTGCCTTTCTGGCTATCCATGGTATCTATAAAACATTCCTCCAACACCACATTCTGAATGAATTGATCTAATATGGAGGGTCTTGTTCTCCAGTGGCTCATCCTTGCTTATTCTTGGCCACCTTAGAAGATTCATTCTCTACCCAGCAATTGCTGGCAAAATGTATAAAGTATGTACTAGGTTTTGTAATACAGTGGTGCTTCACTTGACAAGGATAATCCATTCCAGCAAAATCGCTGTAGAACGAAATCCTCATCAAGCGAAAATAAAAAACCCATTGAAATGCATTTAAAACCGGTTCAGTGCGTTCCAATGGGCTAAATACCTAATAGTCCAGCGAAGATCCTCCATAGGGCGGCCATTTTCCAGTGCCTTTAAAGTGAAAAATGCCTCCTAAAAACAGCGGGGAGCCATTTTGCACAGCAGCCAGACATTTTGAAACCCAACGATCAACTGTTTTCAGATCAGCGTAATGCGAACAATTGGTTCCCGAAGCAGCGTGTATATAAAGTAAAAAAAAATGGAAGGAAAAAGATTGTCGTAAAGCAATTTTTGGCCATTGAAACATCGTTTTGCGATCGCAAAAGCAATCGCAAAAACCTCATCGTCAAGCAGATTCGTCGTTTAACGAGGTAATCGTTAAGCAAGGCACCACTGTATTGTGCAGTAATCTGTGTTTTGCATGATATAAATAGAACAATTAGCTCTTCCCATTCTATAATCCATTGTCCATATATTCAATACCATGAAGGGTCCAAGTTATGACAATTTAAGTAATAGTTCTATATATTGCAGCAAGCTCTATCTCATGCTTCTTATGACATAGACCTACATGTTCAACAAGGTTCCTTTTTTGTAACAAATTCTCCTGCACCTTAAGGTGCTGCTGCTGCTTCATCTTCATCAAACCCAGTTCTTTTTTTGCTGCTTTTCCCCGTCTGCATGTTAGCCTCACAAACTTGGTTATGGAGTACATCTCCCATACCTCTGTAGCGCTTTAGCTGTTAGCACTAAAACTAAAACTCCCATTCAACTCTCTCTGTCTCTCTCTCTCTCTCTTCAAAAGCAACAATCATTTGGACATACTTTCCCTGAAACGTTTCTGGCCTAATGTATGCTAACTTGGCTACCCATGAAAAATGTTCTGTACAATTATGGTAGGAATTTAAGCTTCAGTTTAAAATAGCCTACCTCTATCCAGTGTTCTCTAGATATGTTGGACTATATTTTCCCATGAGTCTTTGGGCTATGATAGGGGAATTGTGGGAATTATAGCCCAATATATCTGGAAGGTACCAGGTTTAAGGAAGCAACTAGGAAACATGTGAGGGGAGCATAAGTCATGCTGTTCTTTTCCTCATTGCCACCACTGCCCCTTCTTTCTGAATTCAAGCTGTAGTTGAATTTGGCAGGCTTATAATGTCAAGAGGATTCTCCAGATCTTAAAATTCATAATTTTCAACTCTTTTCTTTGAAGACCAAGTTGCTTGTATTAGAAACAAAGCATTAGAAACAAAGTAATCATAAATAGTCATTGGTGTGCTGTGGATACTTTTTGGCAGGTGCACATGACATTTTTGTAGTTGCGTTCTGGAGACCACTTCTAGTCAAGGAATATATCCTGCAAGCTGTGAGGGAAAATGCATCTTTCCAGGAGAAATGTGGTTGCTGCAGTTTGAAGGCTGACAAATGAAATGCATTTGAAACAGAAATATTTCCTTGAAGAAAGATCTAGGGATTCAGCAGAGCATTTCTTGCTTGTTACCTTGATAATCTGGGAGTACTTCTCCACCCTTGATGTCTCATTTCAGCTGTGATCATAGCCGGGCTGGAAAGGAAGAGACATAAGCACCTAAATGTTGGAACATACATTTCCATACTTGACATTTGAGGGGCAAGGAAGTGACTGTCTACTTGACCCAATCTCAAGCACGTGTGAATACTGTATGTCCTTTATAACAATTTGCCTAGAGATGTCTTCTCAATTAATTGCTCTTAAATCTCCATGCTTTCCTTGTCACTCTTTTTAAAGAGGAATACCTGTTGGGTGATAGATTCTGACATTTTATTTGTACCAATAGACCTGTTAGAACAGGCCTGACATCAGTAATACAGCATCTTGCTTACAACAGGGCTCGGCCAAATATTTATGGAACACCCTCAAGACTGGCAGTGTGACAATAGCCTTCCTCTGTTGCTGCCCCCCCCCCCGCAGCTCTTCTCGACAGAGAAAGAATGAAAGACGGAGATAGAGACACTGCTTCTGAACAGGGAAGTTCCATTTAATCAATATAGCTTACTACTGTTGATAAATTTCTTGTGGATTTTTCCAACCCAGAGGTGGCCAAAGTGATGTCCTCTGGGTGACCACATTTCGACCCATATTTTTAGCATTCCACACTATTGGCTATGCTGCCAATGGCTGATAGAATTGGCCATGCAATACGACCCACCCCAGGCCTATCTCAAGCCAGGAAAAATTACCTTTATGGATTATGACTCCCAGATGCTCCGGCTGCGTTGGCTGGGAGATTGTGGGAGTGGTATGCCAAAAGGATAACTTTTCCCAGGCTGTTTAAGTCGCCTCTTAAAAATAACTAAGCTAGGGGGCATTACTGCCCCAAGTTAGGGGATTAGTGATGTGGTGTGGGATGAAGCATTTTTATTTGTTTGTTTGTTTATGCATGCCCTGCCTTTCTCTTTAAAAGGACCCAAGACGGCTGACAACAATTGAAAGACAATATTTAAAAACTAAACACTGAGTATACAAATATTTAAAAAGAATTAAACAAGTATCATATTAAAATGGTCATTAAAAACACATTCAAAACAACAGAGCACAAAAAGCCATTTTAAAAATCCTCTCAGGCTGCCAGTCACTAAGGAAAAGTCTGCTTGAAGAGAAAGGTCTCTGCCTGCTTGTGGAGGGACAGCAAAGATGGGGCCAGCCTGGCCTCCAGTGGGAGGGAGTTCCAAAGTCTGGGAGCAGCAGCAGAGGAGGCTGTCTCCCGTGTCCCCAACAAACACACCAGTGAGGGTGGTAAAACCAAGAAAAAGGCTCCCCTGATGATTTTAATGCCCAATCAGGCTCATAATAGGAGACAGCATACTTGAGGTAGCTTTCTAGGTTATAACCAGCATTTTGAATTGTGCCCAGAAACGGATCGGGAGCCAGTGGAGCTGCTGTAACATGGGGGTTATATGCTCCCTTTTGTCTGTCGTGGATATCTTGCCACTCACCCAGTGGCCCAAAGTTCTAGCATTTTGGGGAAGGGAGAGGAAAAATAACACATACTGCCTTCTTTCATGTTGTGCATATCTTTTAAAAAAGAAACTTTCTCTCCTATCCTTCCTCCATCTATGATCCCAGTCATCATTTTTACTAGAAAGAAAGTCCACCCCCTGACTCCCTGGCTTTTCCTTGTGCAGAATATATTTCACCCTCTGGCTCATCCGAGCCATGCTTTTCTGTTTCTTTTCCTGCCATGGCTCATACAATGTCTATCTCTGCAGTCGGTTTTTTATGCCTGTAGTCGGTTCCTTTATTTTACTGACTAAAAGGAATTTGGGATTACTGCACAGGATGAGAACAGATTTAATCTTTTCTTTTTCTTCCACAAGACTTGGCATTCCCACAGGAAATCAACAAGAGTATTCTCAAAACAAGCTTCCCCCCTTTCCCTCCCCTCTCACTGTCTCCTAATTAACAAATTGTTAAAGCAAGAGCAAGTACCATTGTAGATTCTGCAGCGACCTTATGGTATATGAAGTGTCCATTTCCCTCCCTCCTCTTCTGTTGTGGAGTTATTCTAGCCTCAAGCCAGTTACATCCCTTCTAAAAGCAGAGGCTCTCTGGTTCCCACAGAGTGGTTCAAAGAATGACTCATATTCCTTATGTTAATTGTTCAGTTCTCAAAATATAGCACTTACGGGGTGTGGCTGCAAGGGGAGAATCTACTGTACTTATTGGGCATGTTGAGATGTGTTTCGCATATACCTCATTCTCTCCTTTTGTCTTTTTCAAAGCTTTAACCCTTTTCAGTCCCTTCTTGAAGGGACAGACATTTTAAAGGAGAAGAAACACCCAGATGTGCATTAACTTTAACACACTAACACTTGGAGTGTTAAGGGCTGGCTTCAAAACAGGTTGGTTACCAGCTCAGCAAAGTGTGTCTTTCACAAATTGGTGTCTTCTAGTTCTGATGGACTATAACTCTCACCATCCATTCATGTCACCTAGTGGTTATGGGAATTGTAGCCCAACACATCTAAAAGGCTGATGCAGTCCTTTAAGATTTTTATACACGGGAACACCAGATGTGAACACCAGATGTGACGCAGCAGATCTAACTAGGTTTTGTTTCTTTGTTTTGTTTTGTTTTCCACTCTTAACACAGGTGTGAGGGAGATCACCTCCATATTGTTATTGGAACAAAGGTAGAGGGGTGGTGCTTAATCTCTTTCCTGCAAGTTATGTTTCCAAACTCTTTTTTCCTTTACAGAGGGGAAAGGATAAGTTGGTGGAACATCTTGTCCTTCCTTGGGCAGAAAGGTAGTTTGGGCACGGAAGGGATTTACTTAAAAACAAACCATCCTGAAAGGGTCTAGCATTTCCACCTCCCCACTGTTGCAATCAAATCCAAAGCCCTCTGTGCCCCCGTATTAAAATATGTTTAAAAATAATAACTGGCCGATAATTGGGTGTTTCTGCTCTATCGTGTCTAAATTTAGTCTGTATCAGAAGTAGCCCTTGGATTGAATAGGAGACTCCCTTGCTGTATCAAGCTGCTTTTGAACAGCCTGTTTCTAGATGGAGAGGGCATGGATGTGCCTTACTAGTCTGTGGTGTGTGTGTGTGACTGGTCTTACTGAACACTCCTCCATATAGAAAACTATACAGCAGTCAGAAAATGAGACAGAGTCCTTCTACCTGACATCCTGATTTTCTGTTCCCAAGTGAGTGGTTTTCCTGTATAAAGTGCCATTCAGACATGTGAGCTGCCTTTCCCCAGCAACCCCGAAGTAGGGTGATCTTGAAGCAGGTTGGCCACCTGAAGGAAAACCAGGCCAACATCCCATCAGTTTCAAGAGCAGTTTGCCATGTGGCACAGCTGCTGTTTCATAAATGTGCCCACCCTCCTCTTCCTGACAGGTATGCGGACCTAATTGCGTAGTTACTTGCATTCCAGGAACTGATTTTCATGTATTGGCAAACTTCAGGAGCAGACCCTTGACGTGAAACCTTTACTCTTTCTAAATCTGTTGATGTGTGTGTTGCCTTGGGCTTTTGTATTTGTTAATGCCTTGAGATAGCAAAATATGTCTTAGAGCATTGGTCTACTCAGTCCTGCTCAGCAGTGGTGGAGGCATGAATGAAACAGTTACCTGGTATTTCAGATTGTTCTGTGTCAAGCTGGAGTGTTCAGAGGTGGGAAAAGAGATTGTTGCCTTGAGATAGCAAAATATGCTGCACTTCCATTGTCTTAGAGCATTGGTCTACTCAGCAGTGGTGGAGGCATGAATGAAACAGTACCTGGTATTTCAGATTGTTCAGTGTCAAGCATCCTTGGAGTGTTCAGAGGTGGGAAAAGAGATTGGAAAGTTATTTTAAAGAAGATGGATACAATGACATGCAGGGACTCCGTAACTGTACAGTGGTAGGTTAATGCACAAGTCTCTAGAGCATCATACTACAGCTGTTGTTTATTTTAAAGAAGATGGATACAATGACATGCAGGGACTCCGTAACTGCACAGTGGTAGGTTACTGGTAGGTTACTGCACAGGTCTCTAGAGCATCATACTACAGCTGTTGTTCAGTTATGGATGGCCTCAACGCATCATCTTAGATTCAGTCTTCTTAAAAATAACACTGCAGACTCTGGATACAGGAGAACAGCACAGAGCCAAGAATATATAATTAGTGGGGACGAGGGCAATATTTACAGCTGCATTTAGATAGGATATGGATGTGCCTTAACAGTCTTACCAGCATTATATTCTGCAACCATTGTAGTGTGGGTGTATTTCACATAAAGGTGTCTTATTGCGTCTCTAACAGTAAATATGGACAGTCGTGAGCATTCTTCAGAGAAATGGGATGGGGACCACAGTGTCATTAAATCTTTTTAACAGTAACTGACAAAGCACACTGCTGTCCGCTGCACAGATTCTTGCCATTTGTCACAGTTTGAGCCACAGAGACATGGCGTATTTGCCAACAGTTTCTTCATATGGCTTGGGATCCAGTCTATTGTCTTTGTTTGCTTGTGGTTCTGTTTAATGACTGAAAAATGTACAGCAGAAGATGATTCCAGGAGAGGCCCCCTCTAGGTTTTACACAAATGAATACTTTTCTGATGTGTTCCCCTTTATCTGAGAAAGCAGAAGTCGTATTAAAGAACACCTATATTTTGCAAAACTGGGAAAACTGCATTATTGATGGATCATGCTTTTAAAATATATGTTATCTTTTGGGATAGAAAGAGAACCTGCCTGCTGGGACATCAACATACTTTGGAGAATCAGCTGAGGATGGAAAGTGCAAGACTTCTCTCACCCAACAGAAAAAGCAAGACATCCTGAAAAAGATGTAAGCATTCCCACCATGCATGCACACATACAAATATACACAGAATTGTATTTTTATAACTGGGAATACAAATCTTCGTAACATCATGGTTCCAGCAGAGCACTAAAAGGCAGTGTTGCCTCTTAGTTCCCACCATGAGATGTGTACATGAGTGTTTGGGGTGAAGTTAACATTTCATAACATCAACTGTCTTGAAATAAGAAAAGATCAGTTGGAGCCTGCTGGAGGAAGGAAGAAGAGGAGCGTTCTAAAAATCTTATAGTTAAATGACTGGAGAGAGAGAGAGAGAACTGATTTCCAAGTAGAAAAGCCTATCCTTAAGCATTTTCTATTCATCTAGTTCTCTTGGCTAGAAGAAGGTGGGGTAGCAAGAGCTGAGCAGAACAATTGCTGGGAGAAGTGGAGAACTGCCAGAGCAATCATTGGGACAGAGAGACTCCATTTCGGATGGCCAAACCTCCTTCACATACTGTATAGCAGATGGCCAGTTCATCTCCATACCTGAAATAATTATCTCAGGTGGTGGTGGTGGTGAGTTTGCCTTTCTAAAACTGGTGAAAGGCAGTATCCCACTTCCCTTTCCTTCCTTCTCATGATTCCTTCAGTCTCCGTGGCAACCTGTGATACACCAGTTCTTAAAAATTCCATTATTTTTCGCCAGTATTCACTAGTGGTGAGGGATGATGGGATATCCAGTTCAATAACATCTGTGGGAGAATATGTTGCCTGCCCACCCCTGAACAAATGGCAAGATGAGCTAGAGAGGAAGGAATCATTTAAAATGTGAGTTTTCTTTCTTCTTTCTGAACACTAAGAGGTCTTCATTTAATTGTAAGTAATCAGTTTCATTAAATGTTAACCTTGCCCAGACCTTCATGTACTTGTCAAAGGAGGGGTGGAGTGGGATGAGCAGAGATAGTTCATCAATATGGAAGGAGAGTATCAAGAATCAAGAAGGAAACCTAGCAGCATTTTTCTATAGCTGGAGGTTTACTTTTTTTCAGCTGTACCTAAATGGAAGGTCACAAAGACAGCATTTGCAGTTCATGCCACTGAACCAGTGGCTTATGCTGGTTCGTTTCTCAGTCAGATAGCTGTTCGGGGGGTTCCTATTCCAGCTTCCTTTGCCAGGTGCCCACGCAGAGGCAGTGCCCAGAGGAGGTGGGGCAGGGAAGCCGGGGTGCTACCGCTGAGTGGTCATCCACCAGAGGGGGTGGCTCAAACTACTGGCTCAGTGATTCATGCCCATCTCTGTGTGATCCATCTTAGTTCTTGTTCCAAAGGCTTGTGCCCAAACCAAATCAAACAGTCCATTGCCACTGAAAATGCAGAGTATAGCCACCTGAGAGCAAACACATAGGGGTGTGTATGCTGTCCTGGGTCCACTTCAGGTTTTGAGCTATAGTGAAAATTAATCTGACTCCTTGCTGGGTTTTGTTCTGGGAATCTACCATTGGCCCTTCCAGCCCTTGAAGGGTCTCAGTTTGTGCCCTGTGGGGTGCCTACGATTTGCTTAATATCCGTAGCTGCTTTTAAACCTGTTGATACAGTCCTGATAAGATTTGGATCACCCTCCTCTTGATTAAAACTGTGCTTAGCTATCTTAGATTCTTTAAAGTTCAGCTGTATGATAGATTGATTGATTGATTGAGTGAGTGAGTGAGTGAGTGAGTGAGTGAGTGAGTGAGTGAGTGAGTGAGTGAGTGAGTGAGTGAGTGAGTGAGTGAGTGAGTGAGTGAGTGAACATTTCACCTTTTGCACAATTAGGGATGCTCAAGGCAACATATAATACTGTAGAGGAATTAATAGAGATGCCAAATATTAAAGATTATGTGAGACACATCACTCTGTTAAAGATACTATTAAAACAATTCAAAAGCAAAACCAGCAAAAAGTACATGCACAAATAAAAAAGAGATTTAAGGTAGAAAAGAGCAGCATCCCCTGTTAAAACTCTTGTCTACAGCGTGAGCCAAAAGCTTCACTGGAAAGAAAGGTCTTCGTCTGCTGGTGGTGGAAGGAGCAGGGCAAGGGACTTATCCTGGCCTCATGTAGATAACCAGGGAGCAGCCACTGAAAAGATCCTGTCTCTAGTATAGACCAAACATGCCCGTGAACACAGTGGGATTGTGTTCATGGGACTCCTTCAAAGGAACTCCTTCAAAGATTCTAAAATGGAGGAAGGCTTATACTCAGAGATGCAGTCCTTCAAATAGCCCGAACCCAGGTTCATAAGCAGCATTTTGAATTGGGCCCAACAGCAGATTGGCAGCTAGTGGGACTGATGTAACAGGGGAGGCATATGTTTTCTGCAACCAGCTCCAATAAACAGACTGAATGGTATTGCTGAAAGAGAGCTGAGGCCACATTACCTTTCCCTTTCTACTAGTGCCAACTGCAAGATAATTCGACTCATTCGACTATGTGCCTCCTTACCTATATAAGTGAATAACTCTGATATCAGTCTTGGCTTAAAATGATAAACAAAATATCCTTGAGGCTAATTTGAGCATACTATAGTCTACAGCACTGGTTCTTAACCTTGGTTACTCGGATGTTTCTGAACTGCAGCTTCCAGAAACCCCAGCCAGCACAGTTGGTGGTGAAGGCTTCTGGGAGTTGCAGTCCAAAACTCCTGAGTAACCCAAGGTTAAGAACCTCTGGTCTACAGCAGCCTAACCCATCCTACTGCCCTCCAGATGTGATCATCTCTTCTATCACCCGATTCTTGAGCCATGCTGATTAGGAATAATGGAAGCCCTGGTAGGTGCCAGCCCAGGGTGGGCTGCTTTATTGAACAAAACAAGGCCACAATAAGTCACATACCCAGTAGTTCACTTTGGGCCACCTTCTGGAACCTTGCTTAGCATTGTATAAACATCACATTTGTACCCTTCACTACATGAAGGACACATATAAGGTAAGACCTGAATATACGGGATAGAAATAAAGTACAGTTGAAGGAAATGCACATTGTTTCCTAGTCCTCCCTGGTTTTCAAGCTTGCTTGTTTCTCAGAGGTCAGGCAGAGTATCCTTATGTGAGAATGCAATGTGCATCCAGCATGCACTTGGACTGCCTCTGCCCATTCAGTAGGAGGGCAGCTGATCAGTTGACCAGTCTGTGCACATGGATGCTTGTATAGATCCATCCCCATTATTGTACAGGAAAAGAAACCGTAGTATGTATATCAAAGCAATTGAATTTCTGTACCCTGATAATAAATAAATGGGGACTGAGCTGTACGAGGATTCACGTACACAGATCAATCAGTCATCTCACTCCCATTGAATAGACAGAGGTAGCTCCAGCACATGCAGAGCACACACCACAATTTCAAGTGTATGTATCAAAGCAACTGAGTGCCAGTGTGGTGTAATGGACAGAATGATGCACGGGGACCCAGAGGCCTGGTTTCAAATCCCTGCTCAGCCATAGAAACTCAGTGGTAAAATCACAGGTTAAGTATCTCACATACTTAAAACATCAATTAAAGCCACCATAAGTTGGAAGAGATTTGATGGCATGTAACGACAAAGTCCAAACAACTATATATTTAATACAAATATGTTTTTGCCAAAAGGTTTGCACTGTGCTTTTCAGTCCAGAAATCAACAAATTCACTAAAGATCAAGTAATGTGTAGGTCAAACTGAAAGAAAAAACAATGAGTAAATTGTGAAAACGACCATCACAGACCCATATACATGGAGGAAAATATAACCAAAATTGCAGATTATATCCCATGGTGACAGAAAATAAAATTTTAAGAAAATAAGCAGCCAGGTAATTAGTAAAAAATCTTTCTGAAAGAGAAACATTCTGTTCTAATGACAATAGCAGTGGGGAGAAATTAATAATGCCTGATAGAAACTAATAAGCTGAGCTGTGAAAAATTTGGATCCTGGAACCAGTATTATAGATAATCTTGAGATGAGCCAAATGTCTCATTTAGTGCCTTAATTTTATAGATCCTTAAAGTATATTGTAAGCCAGGTGAAGCTTCCTGTAGTTAACTCCTTCATAATTAAGTTTAGGTATCTGGAGGCAGAGAATGGGAGTTCCAGTTCCGCATTGTGCCTCCTGAAGAGAAAAACCAGCCTGTGTGGCCTTGGGCAAGCTGCACAGTCCCAGGACACCCCCAGAGGAAGGGAAGGATACACCACTTCTGAGTACTCTCTACCCAGAAGACTATGGAAAGGGTTGCCATTAAGTCAGAATCAACTGAATGACAAGGGAAAAAGAAAGAAAGAAAGCCTTTCGACCTAGAGATCAAGTTTGTAGTTGTAGTGTGACATGTCTTCACCAAACTGGTGTCCTTCAACTGCATTGGACTTCTGTGTGCCCAAATGTAGGTACAAATTTATTTTGGTTAGGAATGATAGAGCTTGTAGTCAAACACATTGGCAGAGAACTGGAATGGGGAAGCTGGTTGTGTTCATGACCATGCATGCAATACAAACAAACAAAGTATAATCAAGTGTCTCAGTTCTGAGTAAAAATTGCCCACCCCACTAGACTGGAAAGAGTCTAACTCTCTGTGCACATCTGTATTTATCTTCAGTATACAGAAGCATTTAAAAAACAATATAGTGGATTATAGCATATTTTATGGACATAATCTCATTCTGCCATGTTTGTTTAAATTGGAATCCTGGGACAACCCAGTCAATAAGTAATCACACACAGAAAACGATGATGGTTAATGTTCTGTAGAGTAAAAGTATTGTCTCTTGCTGAGATAATAAGCAGGTTTATCTCTTGCAGAAGTTGAGACTTCTGGTGCCTTCTCAGAGTTCATAGAAAGGAAGAAATGGAGCTGTCCTGAGATCTACATTATGAAAGGAAACCTTTCAAAATAATGTCTCTGTCTGTCTGTCTGTCAGAGTGAAGAGGACAACAATCAAAAAGTCTAATGAGATGAAAGCCCAGCCCAGCAAGGACACCATTGATGTATATCTTGGCTTACTGTGCTCAGACAGCGAGTAGGAAGAATGCGTTCCAGGCTCCTTCTGATGCTTTGTCTGAAGCAAATCGTAGGCATCTGGCACAGCCAACAGACTGCGTAAATACAGCTGAGAGCAGCTTGAGGCTTCCTGTTTCAGAACAGGGACTGCAATACGAACTGGAGACAGACAAACCCTACTAGCAGCCAGCACAAACTTCATTTTGCGGCATGGTTAGACATGACTTCGACGCAGGAACCCTGGTGGTGCTGTGAGTCAGCACGACCACATCCAAACCAGAGTCAAAGGGTGACTGAAAATGCATGGAGTGCTGTTCTACGCATGCAAGACCAGGAGGAGTTAGAGAGCCTCTGAGGCAGGATCGCTCGTTTCCCAGACAAGCAGCCGGGCTCATTGTTTGGAGCCATCTTTTGGAGATGTCCCCCCCACACACACACACCCACACCAAATCCCACATTGTTTTTAAGTGAGGCTTGGCAGGATCCATGTCTGATGGAAGAGTTGCGTACATGAAGAAAAACCTCCTCCTGGGACATGTATTTATGAGAAACATGGCAGCTGTTGTGCAGACAAACCCAAAACAGCCGCAGCCACCAAAGAGTAACCCTTAATGTTTCTTTCCCCCTTTAAGCTAAGCAGAGAGAGAGAGAGAGAGAGAGCGCAATTCAAAATGTGGGGGAAAGGAAGGAAAGAGAATAGGGGAAGAGGCAGCAAAAAAAAAAAAAAAAAAAAAAACAACCAAAAAAAAAGGTTGCCAAGATTTAAAGCTATCAGAAGAAATGTATCCTTTATATACAGGCAGGTCCTGAAACTGCTTGCTCTAGAGTTGTACCTGTGATGTCTGATACCTCTGTTCAGCAGGTGACTGGGGAATGGCCGATGCAAAAGTGTTTCTTCATCGTACTGAAAATCTATTCCATGCTTTTATTTGTTTACCTCACTACAGCCCAGTATATCGTAATGCGGAAGGAAGCGGTGGGGGGGGGTATTTAATATAATCTTCCCTAATTTTCTTAGCTTTTATTATTTTTTTAATTGTACACTTTTTCTTGGGAGAAATAAATTTAGAAGAAATAAGAGTGGGTACAATAGGATATATAGCTATAAACAGCAGACTGAGAAGCAAAACAGTGAATCAAAGAGAATGAATTCAAACTGCATTTGTGCCTCAGATCTACTTAAATTGACTTGGAAATGTATGCACATTATAGGATTATTATAACCATTGTCATTTACTTGACTCATTTTTCTCTTCCTACTCTGCTGCAATAAATGTTTATGAGGAAATAAAACTTCATCAAAATTGCTTTAACGAGGCTTAGCATCAAAATGGTCACAACAACTAGTCAGTGCAATTGATTGTGGAAATACTATACCTCTCTTTTTTCCTTTTTACATACACATTTAACTCCTACCCTTCCCCGAAGCAGATCAGTGCAGTGACTTTTTTTCCATTTTATCCTCACAACAAATCTATGTCCTCTAAAAGTATGTTGGGCCATAGGTAGGGCTGCCAGATACATGGGTACCAAAAGTAAGACACAGAAAGACAAAAAAGCGGGCAGAGGAGGATCTATTGAATATTTCATTTGATTCGTTCCGGATTAAACCCGCAATCAATACAATGTTATTACAGTAGCTGCCAATAAATGTCTCTTAGTAAATGGACCAAGAAAAGTCATGTTAAAAAATTAAAATAAATTCAATGGAGGCTTTTTTCAAAATACCAAAAAGCATTATTTAAACAGCCAATTGTGCCCAAACCCACCCCGGCCTGGCTGTGGGATCCCCTGGCCGCTCACATTCTGCACAGGCTCAGAGGCAACCTTGCTAATCTGGACACCCAAACAAGGCTCCGGCACAGGCAGGGGGAAAGTGGCGCTGGGCAAAACCGAATGAGGCAACCTTCCCTCCCCCGATGGTCATAAGTTCAAGGCTGGGGTGTGTGGGAGTTGGAGTCCCCAAAAGGGACCTTGAACACACACAGTCCAGGTGCTCATCTTCCCATCGATGCGCTTGGGTGCTGCTTGCTCTTGCCTGGCTTGGCGGGTGGCGCTCTGCTCGCACTGCCTTTCTGGGCTCCACGCGGGCTGGGCGGGTATGGTGGATCCCCTAGCAGCCGCGGTGGTGGCGGGAGGGGACAAGGGCTGTGCTCCAGTGCTGGCGGCAGGTAATAAGGGGCAGGGGGCAGGGAAAGACAGGGGGCGGGGGCCCTTCCACCTCTCCCCTTCCCATACAAAATTATAACACAAAATATACAAAAGCCTGACATTATAAAGGTTTTTATCTTTGCCTGATGGAGGACATTAGGCTAAAAAGGAGGGCATGTCCTCCTTTTGCCTGATGTCTGGCAACCCTAGCCATAGGTCACCCAGTGAGTTTTGTGGCAAGTAGAAATTCAAATCCACATCTTCAGAGTCAAGTCCAATATTCTTACCATTCTACCATCCTAGGTATGTCACCTGATCTACCCAAGGGTTCTAATCTTTTAATTACTATTATTAAGGGATTGTTTTAATTGGTTTTAACATGGTGTTTCAACATAATTTTGTGGTCTTGGTTTTGAGATTGTCTTCAATGTTTTCTGCAAAAGGCAACATAATAATAAAAAAGTGGGTAAGAGTGAGATTTGTGGGATGACAGATACCATAATTCTCCATTCTGGGAGTTCTGCCTAACTTACAGACACCTGACAAAATCTAAATGTGATGCATTTGGGGAGAAAGGCTTAAACTGAAGGCTTAGCTAGGCCAAGCTCTGTCCATACTTCCTACTCAGAAAAAAAATCTCCCAGCTTAGCATTGGGGCAGGAACTGGAAGCTATTCATGTCTTGAAGAAGCGGTTTGTAATCCACAAAAGTTCAGACTGACTAAAATCCTTTATTTTGTCGTCAAAATAAGTTTGATGACATTATTAGCAGCAGTCATTTTCTGGAAATTAAAGACTTCAGAGTTTTGTCACAAAGGTCCTGAAGTTCCCACGCAAAGGTCCCGGACTTCGCAAAGGTCCTGAAGCACTTTTCACAATTGAGAAGCCATGGGGATGAAGGGTGGAATCGAAGGGAGATGTCTTTATCCAAAATTACAACCACCAGGGGCAACTTTACAGTAGCCTTGGGACGTTTAGGACAAAAGTCGGAAGTGTTTAATTTCTAGAACACTGCTGCTACTGATGCCGACAGCCTTGCACAGTGTAAGTTACACCAACAGGATTTCAGTCAGTGAAATACATGTGTTAGTCTTGAAGGTGCCACAGCACTGTTTCTGTTTTGTTTTGTTGCTGGAACAAAAATCAGCAAGGCAATGTCTAAAAAATAGCTATTACTAAATGTGGTTGTTCCTTCATTAAAGGAATTCAATGGTGCAGCTACTATTTGTTGAATTGATGGTTCCCAACTTTGGCGCCCCAAGTGTTATACAACCACAGCTCCCGTCACCTTTGATTGTGGACCACAAAAGCTAAGAATGATAAGGAGTGGAGAGTCAACATCTGGGGAACCAAGACCAGAAACATTTGTCCTCCGGGGCAATTTCTGATCTACTTTTAAAAGGAGTCATTTTGTTTTTATTTTATTTACAATTGGTGGTTAATATATAATTGTTAATACATCCTACCAGGGTTCAGCTGTATAGATTAACAATGGCTGAAGCAACTCAAATAAGCTTGAATGTAGAAGCTGTGTTGACAGTTGTTTCATTCTAATTAACTTAAATCTGCACCAACCTCTTCTTTTCCATGTGCATGCCTGCATGCTTCCCCCCATGTGGCAAACAGTTCCTTTGGAAACTGATTTCAACGTGAGAAGAGACGATGCTCCCCCCCCATCACAGTCCTGGTCAAAACCAAGAATTGGTAGGGTGTCCATACTCCATTTTTAAAATTCAAGAAAGAACCAGTCATGGTTTGGCCAGCTTCTTGTCTGGATTGACTCTATATTCCAACAAAGAATTTCCTTTATTGCAAAGTTAAATCAGCATGTGTTAACTTGAGGATGAGAAATTCCCCTACTCCTTCTTTTAAATTCCTTTTTGTCTGGCAAAAGATTCTCTGGGAATCAATTCGCCCAGTTTGTCAAGACTCAATGACAAGATTGTTTTATGACCTCCAGCATGTTTGAGCAAGCAGGGCTCAAACAACCCAGCATTTGACTGTTATATACTTCAAGTCCTTTTCTGGCGTAGGATGAGAGGGAACCTGCTCAGCTGATACAGAAGGGAAATATATGCCCATATATGTCACAGGTTCATAGAACTCTTGAGCTGAGGGACCCTAAAAGTATTTTAGTCCAATCACCTACCATTGTAGGAATACAAAGTTAAAGTATCATTCTAGATATATTTCTAGCCTGGATCTACGATTCAGAGGTATAATTAAATCTTTTTCCTGAGGGCAAAACATCCCTTCAATCATGCTTCACCTTAATTGAACAGGATGAACTGCGTGCAGCAAATCTTTTTCATCATAACTTATCTATAAATAAGCAGTGTGGGCCTGTATCCTTCTTCAACTTCTCACTGTGTTCAGTGTTTTCAGCTTATATCCAGGTAAGTGTGGATAGGATCCCAACATTCATCATTAGCATTGTCTCTGAAAGCATTTTGTATTGCAGGAGGGCCACACATCTATATATCTTAATAATTCTAACAATAATGTATTATTCAGCGAGGACAAAACACCGGCACCCTAGAATTTAGACACTGCTGACCCTTCTAGAAAGCAGTAACTGGCCTACATTTGCCCCTTTAAACATAGGGAATGGGACTCTGAGCGTCTCAGGTCAGTTATTCTACGTGACACTGGAAGAAATGAAAAGTCAGTTCCTCTTTGGGGGTATGTTTGGAAAATCCAGTTATAATTTGGGGAAAATAATCTGATTTTTGGTTAGCAAAATGTTAGGTAACAAAGGATTTCATTTTCACCTCCCACACCTTGTTTTAGAGATGTGTGATGCAATGCTGAGATTCATGGAGATAACTCCTTTTTTCTCCCTACAAGAACAGACTGAAAGTTACAGGTTTTCAGCAGGATTTCAGCCATTATGTAAAACATGTGGAATCCTCCTTACATTGTGTTTTACAAAGTAAGGATAGCAGATCTAGCTTTACTATTAAATGAAAAGTTTCAGCAATCCTGAATATTCCATGTAGGTACCTCCTTGGTTCCTCCAGTCAAAATTCATTTTCAGATTCTGAGGTCTGATCTCTACATTTTCCAAAATCTAATTGGTCCTAGGAATTTCTGTCACTAATAGAGGTTTCTCTCCTCCTGCTCTCATTTCCAGTTATATTCACAATTTAGACCAGGGGTCTCCAAACTTTTTACATGGAGGGCCACACAATATATTTTTGATATTTTCAAGAGCTGAAGGAATGCGTGCACTCCCTCCCACTCACGCCCACCTGCACCCACTCCCTTCTGTACGTGTGCACACAGACGGGCCAGATAAAAAGGCCAGGTGATTCAAGAGCTGAAGGAATGTGTGCACTCCCTCCCACTCACTCCCACCTGCACTCACTCCCACCTGTACGTGTGCAACTTCCAAACGCACAGACGGGCCAGATAAAAAGGCCAGGTGGGCTGGATGTGACCCGTGGACCGTACCTTAGAGTCCCATGATTTAGACAAATGATTTTACATAACATTATTCAAGAAGTTAAACTAAGGGTGGGAACCTCCAGTTG